ATCCCAAAACCAATTGGTTATGGGTGGAATAGCTCACTTGTGTTATATGGTGAATTTATTTTCTTCCCACAACCGATGAGAGACTTGTTTGCCCCAACAATCCGGCAAACAATTTCATCAACAAATCAGAATTCTCAAAAAGAATCTACAAGGACACGATGAAAACTCACAATTTATTCTTCAAAAAATTTACTTTTTTGAAATATACAGTAGAAGAAGAATGACATCCAAGGATGAGAATCAGATGCTGATAGCCTACTCGACTGGTAAAGGCAAGTGTAAGTGCTGTGTTATAGTGACACCACACCAGAACTAAAATACAAAAAAGTTCATTCCTAATATTAGGTAATACTTATTTTAAATACTTCAAAAATATATAAATTCTGTTAATTACAATTTTCATACTGCTAGCTGAAAGAAGTAAAAAAGTTGAAACTTTAGTTACTGTATTATCCAATATTGGATATTCAACGTGTTCACAATAAATATCGAATAAATTGAAAATAGATTCTGCTATGATCTTCGTGTCAACAAGTGCTTCAAAGATAAAGTGACCTTTGCTGTTAAAATTGAATAAAATAATTATCTTTTCCTCGTAGTTAAAAGGATCTTATTGTCGCGAAAAGAATGTTTTCATTATTTTTGAAGCATTTCCTAGCTAAAGTCAAACATGCTCATTAATGTAATTGCTCGCTTATATCATATTTCTAAAATTGGAAACTTCGTTTTCTTCTTTCATTTTTCATTAAAGTGCACGCATGTAGATAGTCGTGCCACCTAAGGCCTATTTCAATGTCGCATTTATCACCCATTCAATTACATATATCTTCACAATGCATTGTACAAGAAGTAATTTGTCTAATTTTTCAGTATTCTAACAAACGTCGAACTTGATTTTAGAGGTTCATTGTTGTTGTCGTCATAATATATTTTATCGCCAATTTCTTGTAAAAAAAAAAAAAAAAGAGAAAAATCTGCAACAAATTCTTCTCCCAATTTAAACAATTTTCCAGAGAAAAATAAAGGAGAAAAGAAAAGGTCAGAGTTAATTTAACCAAATTGGGTTAAGTCCTGACCATACGCATTGGTTTATGACCGTTTGAAAAGATGCACACAGTACAATACAGACAGAGTACTGTATGTTTGAGCCTATTTATTTATTTGAGAAAAATTGGTTCTTGAGTAATTTTTTTTTAAAAAAATATGTGATAGAAAATTTAAAAAAATAATTTAAATTTACATGTAAAATTATTTTAACGAACGAGCGAACGTGTAAGTTTTATTTATTTTTGATAAATATAAATCCTACACTACAGTCTTAATAATACGTTGTCCAAATGCTGACAGTATTTATTTTATATAAAACGCCAAAGCCACATACAATGGCTATACTATACACTACTCACCGTCTCCCTGTCTAGAAATCTCCATTCTCTCACTATATACTTTCTATCTTTTCCTCTCTCTCTCTCTCTCTCTCTCTATTTGAACTTCTTCCTCGCAAGAACTCTATAAGCACTTATAATTTCTTCAGGATCTCGAAATAATCATGGCTGTTTTTGCGTTATTTTTAGTGTTTCTCTTCGCCATCACTGGCCATTCAGGTAAATTTCTTGATCTTTTCTACTTTTTTTTTTTGTCATTTTTTTCTCAAAATCCCATCTTTTTTTCTCCCCTTGTTACTAAGGATTTGAAAAAGGTTGATCTCTGTGTTCAAGATTAGGGCTTATGATTCCAGTTTCTTGAAAAAGTTGATTTTTTTATTTGAGCTAATATTTTTGCCTTCTTTCTCCCCCACCAATTCTTTTTTGGCAGATGCTGCTTATTGTGTTTGCAATGATGGGTTGAGTACTGATGTTTATCAGAAGAACATAGATTATGCATGTGGAGCTGGTGCAGATTGTACTCCAATAACGCAAAATGGCCCTTGTTATAACCCAAATACTGTCAAAGATCACTGCAACTATGCAGTGAATAGCTATTACCAGAAGAAGGGACAAACTCCTATGAGCTGTAGTTTTTCAAACACTGCAACTGTATCTCAATCTCCCCCTTCTTGTAAGTCTTTCAAAAATACCTCCAAAAGCAGATTTTCTTATCATGAAATAAGCTGATTTTTTAACCCTTTTGGTTTTTTTTTTGATTATTTACAGCCTCAACTTCTGGATGTGTGTATCCATCTAGTCCCAGGTTTGTTGTTTTACCCAAAGGATTTTTCTGCTAGATCTTCCAATTTATGAAGATGTTAACTGTTTTTTGGAAATGAATTCAATATTGTGGATGATTGTTTCTTGAATTTGGGCAAAAAAAATGAAATACTGTTTTAGTTTAATCAATAATAATTTTAATCCCACCTTTTTTACCTAAAAGTTGAGTTGCTATTACTGTTACTGAGATTTTTTGTGTGTATTTGTTATACTTGTACATGACTTTTGCTAACTTCAAGTTGAAAAAAAGTAGAAATATTTTAAGGATGGTAGATCCACTTTCCATTCTAAGGTCATTTTCAGAAATTTGGTACCAAATCAGTCCCTTATTCATTAACATATGTAAGCTGTCTTGACGTGGATGTAAAAATTCTATGTCCGATCGGTTTATAATAAACAATTTTTTGATTGGTCAAAGGTGAATATAATCAACTTTTTCCGCTCAAATGCCTGTTCACTTACCATCTGGTTAGGTTTTCTTTCACTGAACATACCTATATAATTTCATTTAATTTACTCGTATATTTCATGGTACCTACAACTTTTCAACCATACCTTTTATCAAATTCTTCTAAGAACCTGATTTTAATCTACACCAAATAGATGCTAATTATTTCTTTTTTCTTTACTTTGTGTAGCAACACGGGCACAACCCCCTCCACCAGTCCACCTACCGGAGGAACTCCAACCACAGGAGGCACACCTGCTGGAGGCACCCCCACAGGAGGCACCCCTACGACCATGGTTCCAGGCACTCCTGCTGGAGGAACCACCTCTGGAGGCACCCCTACGACTATGGTTCCAGGCACTACAACTGGATCTCCAGGTTTTGGTCTGGGACCAACTGGAAGTGGCTTCGCCAACACAGACAGCAGTGGCACTAGTGTCACACTAGTTCAAAGCGCTACCTTGTTTATTTACCTCTTCCTAACCCTTTTCATTTCAAGCTTGATGAGCGGTCGAGATTTCGAGGGTTTCTGATGTATGGATGGTATTTTATTACAAGGTTGTTATGATTAGGCATATGGGGACATGGGAATGGGAATTTCGTCTTGGCACAACTCCACTAGGACTTTATTTGCTTTGTTTTTTTCTTCCTATCTTGTGGAAAAAGTATGGGGAATTTGATTCTCCTTTGTGTGGAGATGTGGGGCAGTCAACTCTTTTGTCTAGAATTTTCATATGTATATCTAGATTGAGAGAGAGTATTTTTTTTCTTTCTTTTCTTTTTTTTTTTNTTTTTTTTTTTTTTTTTTTTTTTTTTTTTTTTTTTTTTTTATGTAGATTTTACTAGCTATGTTAGAGTATGCTATTTCTCGATTATCTTCACTTTTTGGCTATGGAAAAAAATTGGGCCATCTGAATGTGCACCTAAGAATCAATTATTTGAAAGACAAAGCTAGAAATGTTTTGGCCTGATGTCAATAATTTGATTGTTTTCTCCTCCATATTACAAATCAATGCACTCGCAAAGTGTTAACCATTACATTTGCATTCCAGTTACAAGGAAAATGTTTTGAGAGGCTGCATTTAGGCATATCGAAAGTATCCTAAATTATAGCCATTCTGAGATAAATATAGATCATAACTCAAAAAATAGCTTATTACACAATTAACTAATCTCACGCAAATTCAGCTCACAGAAATAAAACGGGCCTTGCATGCTGGAAGTTCACTTGTCCGACGATCTGGATAACCACCATGCCTTCCAAACAACTGAGAGTGACAAAAGACGTTTTATTTGTTAAGATTTGAGGTTCCATCTTAAAAGGTCGAACAACTTTATTAATAGGAATAGTCCAAATTCTTATAAATTGATCTATACTTTCATTTTTATTCGATGTGAGATTTTATCTCTTAATATGCCATCGCAAGATAGTGGCTCGTTTGAGCAGACCAGTCTTGAAATTCGCGTGCTCAATTTTTTTTAGTCTTAATCTGATCGAATTGCTCGTTAGAGCTTAACGGGTTCTGATACCAGTTAAGATTTGAGGTTCCATTCCATCTTAAAAAGTTAACTTTATTAAGAAGAGTAACATAAATTCTTATAAATTGATCTATATTTTCATCTTTATTCGATGTGAGATTTTATCCCTTTGAACACCGTTTTCCATCCATATGATTGAAGCCACAACACATGGTACAAAATAAATATCAAGTTAGTGCTCGAGAAGAGACGTTGCAATTTACAAAACATAATATGCACACACAAAAATGAGCAAACCACAACTGAATATTCCCAATCGCCTTCTCTCTCGGAATTTCATCTTGATTTATCCACATGAATGGACTGAGAGAGCTTGACATGCAAGTGCGCTAGTCTACGCCATAGTATTAACATCATTAAGTGAAACACAGCAATATCACGATCATATGTCAATCTACATGTACACTTCATTTGACATCAAGTTTGATATTGTGCCACGTGTTGTGGCATGAGTGAATAGTTTTAAAATAAAATACACTTTTCCGCCCATTTGCATTTGAAAATACACGAAGTGTCAAAGTCCATGTCAACCAATTAATGTACAAGAAGCTTTATTCATTTTGCAGAGCATGGGGTTGTAAGGGGAGCATGGTTTTTGCGCCTTTCGTTCTTGCTTTCAACATCTGAATATCAAGTTTAAAAAGATGATTGCCTTCGAGTTTTGTCATCCTTTTCCAGAAAAAAAAGGAACCTCCTGGAAACAACTGGATGATCTTAAAACACAAAATTCAGGTCTTGCATGATCGATAAACAAATAAAAGGCATGGGTGGTACTGTTCCTCAAAGGATCCAGCCACCAAATCCTACAAACTGCAAAAATCCCAACGTTTTGGAACGCTTCACTTTGATATTCAATCATAATGTCCCTATCCGCGTTTAAGTCCATCTCCACTTGCCGCCTTCAATCACCACAATCTCCATCAAAATCCCACCAAACCATAATTCCTATCATCTATTCATTGTTGTCGTCATCATAACAATCACCATCAGTTGAACTTCATCCTCAACATATACTATGCAACCACGGACAAATCTTTGGATCCATAATTAACAAGTTGCAAAACACAAGTGCTCTCGTCTTTAGGCAAATACAACCACTAGTCTTCGGTTGCACCCCATAACAAAATGGTTGCCCAACTATAAATTTCATCTTCCTCATTTATTTCTCATTTTTTCCGTAAAATAAGTGTTTTACAACTTGAGTAATATCTTTCTCCTTAGGTTGCATGATTCTGTATAAAGGTGATCGTGAATATGCTTCTCAAGTGTTTTACACATCTATGAAGTTCATGTCTTCACAGAGCATAATTACAACCTCAATAGACTTTGGAAGTTCCAACCTCTGATCAGTGTTGATTAAGAAAAGCAAAACATCTTAAATGTATTACGTCAGTGCCTGGAGTCTTGAGTTTCCAATTACAAATTTAATAGTTATCAACTAAAGTATCTACATAACAAAGACTTCATAGTGGTTAGCAATCCATGATTGACTCTCCAAATGCACAGATTTGTCATTATCAACAAGTTCTGCCATGATAAGAGCATGCATGAAAGCCTGGAAGACATCTGCTGCTGTTGAATCTTTGTGCATAATGATGCTGATTATTCCCTTTTTCTCAAGTAGCACATACTTTTCTATGAAGTCCAAAAAGAGGAATAAGCCAATATTCTTATTTGTATATTTATGAAAAAAAGAAAAAAAAGGCTTCGAACAAACTGCTTGCATGAATGGAAACTTTTTAGTCTTTCATTTCATATGCTGTTTCATTCTGTATTCAAGTAAAATATTGCAAGGAAGTCCTTCGAGTCATATTAACTGAAAATGTATTAACAAAATATTTATGTAAAGGATAGAGCAAACATGAATTGGTATTAGGAGCTATCAAGCAGCATGAACGACCCTAAGATTTCTAGAGGCTTGACATCAAATCAATAGGATAAAAGCTGAAAACTCACATTTCACGACGGTTGAACAAAGAACTCCAGATACCTAAGCGTACCCTCCAGTACAAAAATTTAACCCTATTTGTGCTCCATGAAGTCATCCACAGTGGTAAAACATAATCCATGGCTGAGACCAGTTTTGGAGTGAAAACTGGCAAATTGTTCAGAGAATATTTTCAGATCAGTGTATTTTAGTATACATAATATGATAACGGGAAGTCTGCATTTGGATCTTTAATTGAAAATCGATGTGGCAGGCAAGAAGTATAGAAAAACTCAACTAATCAGGGAAAAAAACAGATATGCCTATGTTTCTAAACACAAGGTACTCAATTTGAGTATTATTAGTTCACGTCTACAAGAAAAATGTCACATAGTTAAACTCATGATCCATGATCCACATGAATGCATGAAAAACAATTAGAGGACTCCAAAATGTAGGAGCGAGCAGAAACATGAAGTGTCTCAAAAGCAATTTTAGAGATTTTGCATCTCACCTTGACCAGTCTCCATAAAATGTAACAAAAGAACAGAACTTCTTTCACAGTTTAATGTAGTGAGTGAAAGGCGACGAACAGCCTTGTAATTTGCTGCAGAAGTTCAAAGAAATAAACTAAAATGAGAAGATAGAGTTAATTCGTTGATGTTCTTAAACTTACCACATAAGAAAGCATCCCAAGTAGGCTTATGAACAAGAAACTATCTAGTGAAACTAAGTAACTAACCATACATATGAAATACGATGAGGGACAAAAAACCAAACTAGATGGCAAGTGAGTGCCCCAGAGTTATGTGAGCTAGGAACATCCCAAGAGCCATCCCAAGCATAGTTGCAACTCTCTCTTGGCTTCCTTTCTATCAATTGGGGAAATGAAATAATATAATTTCTAAACTTGGAATTTTTGTTCATGCAATTTCTTCTCTAACATATATCATACCTTTGCAGATATATCTGCAGCATTATCCTTTAGAGCAAAATGCTGCATTAAAGCGGCTCTGGTGGCTCCACAAGCAACACCAGCTAGTTGCAACATGAGAAAGAAAAAATAGAGATATCTTTAGAGCTTGGGAGAAAAAACAGGCAGCTCGCCGTTTACAAACATGGTATTTCATGAAACTTATTCATTAACTCATGAAGAACATTAGCACAATCAAAACAAATGGCAATGTTTACATCCAACGACCTAATAGTAGTCTAATGCTGTAACCAAATAAAAAGAAAGTTGCACCAGAGATTAACGAAACTCTAATCCTGCCTTATCATGGTGGCTGGTGCCTCAATCACAGAATAAATTCAGAACTGCATATACTTTACACTAGTTATACAACAATAAACATCACTCAGCAGGTGCATGTTGATGAACTTCGATGCTTATTGAGAAACACTACACATGATAGCAGGTGGTTTTACTGGAAGAATTTAAAAATAAAATTATTCAAAATAAACAAATATGGAAAGATATCTTCCATCATTCTGCTAATATTTTGTCGTCATTCCGAATGTGTCACCAACTTACTGCACCTTAGAAGCAAATGCTTATGATTCAAAAACGTAGTTACTTCACATAGTATGATACCGTAGAATTTTGGAACTTACTGAATGATCATGATATACTCCCTAAGCACATGATGAACAGAAATGCAGAAGGGAACAAAGGTGAAACAAGGTCCATTAACTTTAACATTCCTGTAGCCAGTTACGGGTTATAAGATAAAATCCAAAATCATGAAGAGTACAAAAGGGTGACAGTAAAAGAAAACTTGCATCAAACTCCATAGAGAACTTGATAAGAAAGGAAGAAAAAATAACCAATGAGAAAATTGGTTGGGGAAATGAGTGCTTTAATAATGAAGGAAACTCCAATGCCAAGAAAAACTGGTTGGGGACCCACCCCAAGTGCTTATGAAAAGGTTGGGGACCCCATCTTGCAAAGATTGACAAGAAACGGCAGATATATACTCGAAAAACTCTACAAAAGAATGACGCAACACGCAAATGAAATATGATTGTAGTAGTACAATATCATTCATGAGATATGCAACAAGAAGCCACATTTTGGCATTGCCATTCAGGTTTGCCTCCACCAGAAGGTCCAGAAGGAAGAACTTTGGCGTTAAAGCTTAACTGTGTATTGAAAACATAGAGCAGAAATAAAACAAATAAAGCAACCATCCACCCCGCTGATATTATAAAATTTCACTGGAAGTGATGACCTTATAACAACAGTAGCTTCTGAACTCACGTGTATTCAGGTTGTCAGCGGGACTGTGAACTCGCAAAACTCACATATCATTTCCTGATCATGATCATGATTATTTTTCTGTTTATGATACGTATATGTTTTCATTGACTTGATCCCAATTTGAGAATATGGTGAATAAAAATTACGGAATTCCAAGAATAAAGAAACTTATTCCCTGTAATTCAACATTCAGAGAGTATAAATCTGAAACAGCAAAATCATGCATCAATACAATACTCGAGCTTCGAACAAATTTAGGAGCAATTGCAAAAGCACAGGACATGTACCTGGTAAAATGTAAATAAGATACCTTCAAGCATTCCAGTTTAATCTCTCAGAAACCACTGAAACGGTTTCAAAATTGAGAAATGTAGGAAAAATTTATACCTGTCAACATATGAAACTAAAAAGTCCCACAAAAGATTGGCATATCTGAAATGTGGCCTCAATGACGGTAACAGAATTTTCGCCTACTCCAATGGCAATAAAAAGAGCCTGAAAAATAATGCAGACACTTAAGATAAGCACTACATAGCAATACAAAAGGGTTGAATTGAATGGCTGGGTAGTTAATACCTCACCTGGGTGGAAAGCATTGTTCGCACATAGGTTGAAAGGCCCTATAGTAAATAAAATCTTTGAACAGTCTAGCTCAATTGAGAAAAAGATCCAACTTGAAATCTAAAGTATCAATTTAAATGATTACGAACCTGCAATGAGTCCCATATTTGAAAAGGGTCATAATCTGGAGTCACGTTGCTCGGAAATCCCTGAATATTAAGTACAATATCAAAGATGGTTTTTGGGATCATAATTTTGCATCATCAAAAATGATAATAGAAATGTCATTCTCGTGGCATCAGCATAGTCTAAATGTTAGAAGGGAAAAATTGCATTCTTGCCTCTATTTTCAGTTGAAGAAGAGTGAAGCAATCAATTTTGCTGACCATTTAATTCCTATTTAAATTCACAAGAAAATCAGCAAACCTGTTTCACTACATTAGCCGTCCTTGTTTGGTGTTGATTTTTCGAGATGTGATTTTCTAAAAGTAATTTTTTATTTTTTTTAGAACGTGTAGTTAAAATTTAGGGAAAAGATATGCCTCGATGTACAAAATTATTTTATTGAAAAAAATATATTTAGTTGGAATGAGATTGAGAAAAAGTAATTTTGAAAAATCTAAATCAAACAAGGGCACAACTCAGAATCCCAGATTAAATTATTATCATTTTTACTATAGACTCGAATATACTGGCACAGTCACAGGCACGAAATGATCAGGCAAGGTTCTAGCTTGGAAGCAAGTATTACATCTATAATGTTGGTACAATGTGTTGGCATTTTCTTGTACCTATCCCAGTTTATTATCGCCAAACAAAGGCGGGATCGAAGGTACAATCTTTTAAGCATAGGGTACTATACATGCAAAGCACAAACAACATTTGTACTTTAACATTTCCTTCATTGTAAATGTTGAAATGTGGAAACGGAATTATCTAGAAATTAAAAAAAAATCTTCAATTCAATAAACAAGATCGTCTAATTGTTCACACGTATGTTATACCAAGAATTAGGGATTTGAATTTTTACCTAAATTTGATGATGAATTCTAGAATTGGATCTAAATCACGAGCTTCCAACTTTTAATTGTAAGAACTTGATACTTTAAACCTTCAAATTTTTTATGGTATTCTCCAAAATCACTGTGAAATTATGTATTTTGATTGTTGTAGGATTTTCATGTCCATCTAGTCTCTAAAGATAAAGATGTTCCAATCCATGTAAAATAATGATTTCAATATCAAATAGGAGTCTTAATTAAAATTTAAGCAGTACTTTTAATTAAAGTCCCAATCCAATTAGCTTACATTTAATTACATGTGTAGTCCTGAAACTTCAATTGCAATTATAATTAAGTTTACAATGTTTATAGTATTTACAAGTAAGTACAAAATTTTATTGTAATTACAATTAAGTCAAAATTATTATAATTATCGTAAGTTTAATTACTTTATAGGCTATCACAGTGACCTAATCGGATATATATTATCCAAACTCTGATAATTAGATCATGTCTAGTCGATCATAGATCACTCAATCTAATTATTAGTCTTCATTTTTTTCAAAGGCAAAAGACTGAACTCTCGTAATATACAAGATAACGGAAGTCAATAAATCTGTAATATTTTCCTCTGACATGACGTGTATGTATTTTATCCCCATCCGAAATTTGATAATTAGGTAAACCATAAATGACCATTTTGTCCCTCTAATTGTTCTTACTAACTTAAGTACAATTTTTTTTTCAATGGTACTATGAACAAATAATAGATGTCGAAATTTAACAATCGCTAAACACTGAGTTCAAATTTTAACCATTCAACATAAAATACTTAAGTAGTCACTCAACCAATTTTTTAGGGTGACGATTCTGGACACAAATTCATGTTCTCTACTTCGCTCATTCTCAAATTCCTAACTCATCGAGATATTTGATCAATCAAATTGATCTCACACATTGATGAATCAAAAAATCATTAAAATCACGAAAAAATATATATACATATATAACTGTCAAGAGATTTAGATGAAATATACAGCGGTGAAGTGGAATTTAATTCTTTGCACGATCATACTATAAAATTAAACTCAACACGTGATTCGTTCATTACACTCCAAGTGTATTAGTGTCACATTGGACTATTTCTGTGATAATGACAAATCACAAACTCGAATAGTGAATAGGACAACACTATAATCTTCTTGTACAAGATATTAACTCTTATACCTTGATAGTGAACAAATTATTTATGATCAAAATATAAATTGTATCGTACTGTACTTCTCAACTCATATACCCAGGTTATATTACCACAATCAATGGCAGTCAATTATTCATTCACTCCCATTCCCAAATTTCCTTCTAAAAATATAGAGACAAATTTTTGTATGTATAGGTAAACACATTTGTTAAGGATAGATTTTCTCTCTATTCTCTTAAGTATATGTTTTTGAGAGAGAGAGAGAGAGAGAGAGAGCAATGCGCGTTGTGTAGTGCAGCCACTCCGTTCAAATTTCCCCCTTTAAACTAACGTTTATTTCCCGGGATTTAGAGCATCTTTAAGAAATTCTTTAAACATGAGATTCTTTCTATTTTAAAGAGTCAACATTTAAAATCATACTTCAAAAAACTCTTTAAATTAACATTTTAATTTAGAGAGTGAGTTTGACTCTCTAAATTTGGAGAGTCAAACTCACTTTCTATAATTAAATGCATTCAAAGTGTTTCAATTTTCAATATAATAAAATAATCTAAAGAAAATCTAGTTAAAATAAAAGATAAACAAAAATAATAAATATTTTTTTGGGAGTAGTAAAATTAAATGTTAAATATAAAGAGTTTGTTGGAATACTTCAAAATTTTAACTCTCTAAATTTATAAATGCTCTCCAAATAATAAAATATACTCTTTAAAAATAGGGAGTCTATTGGAGATGCTTATAAGTTATAACTTTTAAATTAATTTTAAAGATATTTTTTGTTGTCCAACCATCTGGTTGACTTCTAAGTCGTTTTTTTTTTTTTTAAATAATAATAAATTGATTGTAAGTCTTATTCCAATTTATCACTTGGATCTACAAAAATCAATGAAGTGACATTTGATAAATGATAATTATTATTTATTGGGAAAATTGCAACAGCAAACTAACATTTTCAATTTTTTTAAACTTTACTCTAACCTTTATTTTATACCAATAAAAGTCCCTAACCTTTAATAAATATGCAGTTGGAGTTCAAATGAATTCATTTGACCATTAGTTAACCAAGAAAAGTGAATTTTGACTAAATTGAAAGTGATAAAATGGTATGTTTAATATTTAAAAAAAAGAAAAGAAAAAATAAATAAATAATGACTACTATTATCCCCACCCCAGACAAAATCCACATAAAATAGTAGCTTTGCCGTTGCCACCCACCCTCGCCTTCTTCTTGCACAACCACCACCATCTTCCCCACCCATTTCATCTTCTTCTCCAACCTTATCCAACAAATCTTCATCTCTATTTTTCTTGATTTTTCTCTATTTTACATAGAAATTCTCTATTTTTCTTCGCACTCGAAAATCGAGAAGAATACAATCAATTATCACTAGTCTTCGTTGTCTAAGTTTGATTCTACTGTAACAACACATAGCATCAACAAAGAATTCCTCAAACTACACTTCAAAATTATAGAGGTTTGGGGGAAAATCATTTCTTTTGGAGAAATGATGTTGCAAATTTATACATTGTCATTTCCTGAATGCAATCCTCGTAGATACAACCAGATTTCCCGTTTTCTTTCGGATATAAGCATCAATTAACTATATACATTGTCATTTCAACAAGGAAAAAAAAAACTGGTACGAAGTTGAAAACATTTTACCACTCATATTGAGGGTAACTAGCACGCTGCCACTATAACAGGGAAGAAGAGATTGTATTCACAACTATGTGCTTGAGCGGGTTATCTATGTCGCTGCCTCCAGCATGCACGACAAACTCGGCTGGTGAGAGGAAGGTGCCATGGCATACGCACATTATTCTCACTTCTTCTCCCTTTCCATATTTGTATAGTATCCCGTCCACTCTCCTACCATTAGGACCATCTCCCTTTGTGAAAACATGAGGCATATCCTCCACTGCATTGGTTCCAATTTTCCTTCCTCGATTTCTTACAACATCAGATCTTAAAGATAGACTCTCTGTGTCAGGTCGAGTCATTCTGCTCATATTTTCTCTTGCTTTCATCCCAGATGAGCCAACATCCTGATTGATTCCCTCTCCCAAAGATTGGATACTGCCAGGGCTCAGTTCACCACCTCTACTGGATCCTAAATTGAAAATTAGGAAATCTCGGATATAATTACGACAAGTAATAGCAGCATGGTTTCATATACAACCTCGTACATATAATCAAATTTATATATCAGTCCATAGAACTAAACAAATGCACAAATATTTTAAATTCGCGAGCATTTCTAGGAACTAAGTACTATAACTTTGATTAATGTTAGACCACCTAAATATTATGAAGAATAATACAACTTTCAACTTTGGATACTGATAAGTACATAAACATAATATCAGAAAGGTTATTTGTACCACTGGTCAAAAGAGTTAATTATAAAATTCAATATTGATAAAAAAAAAAAAGTAAAGGCATGTAGAAACTAAAGATACTCACCCCAAAAAAGACAAATATGAAATGCACTTGTCATATTAGGAACTGCTGTTTTTCTTATGAAATCGTCGAAATGGGTAACATAAGGGTCCAAGTTCCAAAAAATTTCACTCGACATAAGGAATGCTTACTCACAATGCATTTTGCTTTTGTTCTCGTAGATTCTCAACATTTTCCATCTTTCTAACAATAAGCAAATTATTGAACAGTATGTTTGGAGGACTGGTCAATTATTAAATTTTGTTACACGGTTGTCCCCAAGCTAACAGCATTATTGTTTCTTCATCAGCCCAATCATCCAAACTCCAAGAGACGAGCATGGTGTTACAGTCAAAGCAACTCCTTCACTTTCACGTACTCATTGGATGGCAGCCCTTACAGGTTCCTTAGATATAACCAATGGTATGCATCTACAAAGCTAGAAGTCTAAACACTTCTCTTACCCCCAAAAATAAATAGCTTTATTGTTTCTAAAACAAAATAACTGGGATGCATATAATAATCTATCTGCCTAAATAGTTTGTAGAAAACAGGTAGGCTATAGCATTACTCATTAAAGGAAATTACTTAGATTACAAGGTTTAAGGTGCCTTTCTATTCTTCGACTTCTTTTGGCTGGGCGTGGCATTCTCTGACAATTTTTACCTCGTGGAGTTACAGGATGACCGAAGCCACAAGTTCGCAACCATCACCATTTTGAAGTCAATCCCTCATTGCAAAATCCCCTTTCTATATAACATGCATAATATGATCAAGTCTGCAAAACTCAAACATTTCCAAGTTTTGGGGTGAAATTCTTAGGTTCCCTATGTTCAATTATCTAGCATCTAGCGATGCATAATTCTTGTGTCTTCATATTATGTTTGAAAAAAATATTGTGAACATATTTTTATTTACTAAAAAGCGAAATAAAAGTTAAATGAGCTTTGCACATATAAATAACAGAATGAGTACAGAAACTGTTTGATAGAGACGAGAATTAGCATGTTTCTCCTTAAGACAAATTTGCCGAGCATTGGTGTTCATAAAGTTCAAGCAACTCTCATGATACAACATACTCTGTTTGTAATACTATTACTCCAAATGGAAACGTCTCAAGAACAAATACCTTGACTCCTTCTGAAAGAATAGGACTCAAACAAGATGCAAAACAAGGGATACAAGAGATCTCAAGGTTTTCTAACATATCCTTTTTTTTTTTGATAGGTAAGTTTTCTAACATATCCTTCATCCAAAAAGAAGAAGAGAGAATTTATATGTCGTTGTAAATTTCATAATTCGACTTTATTTTAAAACCATCGATCATTTATTATACAAATTTCATAAATTTTCAATGAAGAAATATAAAATAAGATACATGGATATAATCCTTTTATGTCGCTTAGGAACTATGGACCATCCATATCCCACTTGAGTCCAAAAGAACACTGAATAATAGAATTTGGTTATAGTTTACTGGTAGGAAGCATGTGTAACTAGGACAAATGGTGTAATAACCGGACAAAAATTCAAAGCAAAACGTAAATTTGGAAAATCAACTGTTATTCAGGAATCTTTAAGTACTTTGTGCACATTTAATCCATTAAAACAGTTTACTTACATAAAGAAATCACATTTGAGAGTGTGTTAACAATTTATACGCAGCATTGAACATAAATTTTAGCCTATCTAGAAAATAACCAAGAAAGTAGAAAACGAAATACCTCCAAAAGTTCTACTGTCCAATTCAGGCATACTCGAAGAACTCCCCCCTTTTGATTCCATTGACTTTTGCATCCCTCTACTATCTCCCAAATATTGTCCCTTCCCTTGGGCCATTGCCTCATCAATCCCACCTCGAATTGACTGATCATTAGCGGTGGACAATGGGAATGGCAAACCTGACCTCTTTGTTGCAACCAAAGATTTCTCTCTATCCAATCTCTCTCTCAAATTAACCTCAATTTCCTTTTTCTCATCCAGACTTAAATTTCCACCACCACGACCTCCACCAGCTTCCTTGTCACCCTTTAAATTCTTCAGCTTCTCTGACCTCCTTTTCTTAGCCTCCATTCTCCTCAAGGTCTGCAACTGCTTCCTCTTCCTCCATTCCTCTTCCGTCTCCACAGGCAGTGAAGAGGTCCTCAATAGGCCTTTATAAGCCACCGATGGTGGTGCCACCGCATCATTATCATCTCTCACCACCGGTAAACACTCTGCTACAGAAGAAGACCTCACCAACTTCTTGGAACTCTTGTCCAAACCAAATCTCCCTCCTAATGACAGTCCTAGATTCAACTCAATCTCCTGATCCTCCTCTTTCACTGCCTCATTTGCACTACTACTACCCTTGAACCTCTGCAATAAATCTCTTGAAAATCTATTTGTTGAAATATCCAAACAAAGAGTATCCATTTCTGTTGTTCTTAAAATCTTCTTACTATCATCACCATCCCCCATAAGACACAAACAACACTTCTTATAACAATACTATAATGGCATATATTCAGCTATATTTATATGTATATGCATGTTTAACCACTCCATGATCTGATTTACACAAACCCAAAGGAAAACCTGATCTTGAACTGCATAATATTAAGCCCCACCTTATTCCAAGATCCAATTTTTATTCACAATTCAAGAAGCTTCAAGACAAAACCTATATCAATAAAGCAAGAACGAAAATAAAGAAAATCAAACACTGGATTGTTTATTCTAGTGAAACTAATCAAATATTGAAGCAAAATGAAGAAGAACCGCAACGAGAGAACAAACAAGAAAGGTGGGAGTGGGGCGACAAGGCAAAAACTTGGAAAGGACAAGTGGCGGAAGAGAGGGGGTGGGGGAGAAGGTTGACACGTTGGTCTGAGTGAACAGTCCTTTTTGGTAGTGTCTCTAACAAAAATGTTTGGGGGAAAAAAAGAGTTGATTGATTGGGGAGGTTAGAAGCTAGTAGAATAAGAAATATACCTTTGCAACCCTTTCTTGTTGGGTTTTCTTGATTGTAGATTATAAAATGTTTTAGAAAATATTATGAAAATAAGAAGCGATTCTTAGGATGAGGTTCACGGGATTTTAAAAATTATATATTCAGAAAATTTATTAGCTCAAACTTAAGCTATAAAATTTTGCAAGACATTCATTTGCCTTGAAATGCATAGAGCAATAATCTTCTCATAGATTACATACAAACATATTTATAGTTAAATTAGAATTCTGTAAACAAATCATAAGGCGGTCTAAAAAAAATGCTCTATTAATGTTTTTGCCTACCTTTAGTATAAGTTGATTAATTTTTGTTACACGTGGAGCTATGATAAAGTTTGTAATATTCAAATGACAAACTTCATCGGATTCTGCAGACCGAACGCGTAGCCACGTGTCCAAATGTAAGGTAAAAAGGACACATGTGGGGTCCATTTGGAAATATGATTGAGAAAGAAAATGCGAAATATACCTGAAAAGGGTAATGCCAAAGGACAGTTTGAGATGATGAGTTGTTTGATTTATTAATTGAGTAATGCTATTCATCCCTATTGGGGATGAAAACACAGTTTATGTAGCGTCAATGTGGCATTAAATGATAGGTGAAATTAAATAAGTCATTTAATTTCACCTTTTATTTAACCTATCATTTAAAGACACATAGACTGTGTTTCTATCCCCACTGAAGATGAATAACATTACTCTTATTAATTTGTCATGTTGACATATGTATTTAATTAATTGTGTATAAAATTATTTTAAAGTTGAACTCAATTGAAGTGATCTAATAAAGAATTAAAATTTTTAGGTTTAGGACATCTAAATAAAGTGTGGGTTAAATTATATGTGTAGGGATCAAATTCATTAGAGTTGTATTTGACTCAAATACATATGGAAACTATAAATAGGATTATGGTCCCCAATTTATATGCGACTTCTCATTCTTTGTGTTATCCCATCAACACAAGAATATAAGAGAAATCACATTGAAAAAAAGATTCAAAACTCAATCAAAAATAAGTATTGAAAAATCAAGAATCAAGAAAAATTATTGGAGCAATTAAATTGAAAAACACGACGATCAAGATTATGGAGCAAGAAGCAAAATTAATATCAAGAACTCAAGTACCAAAAGAGTCAATAATCAAGATTCAGTAATAAGAAATTATTCCCAAAAAATTAAGGTATGTTTTGCACTATTAATTTCCTTGATGATTTTACATAGATGATCTTAACAATAAAGTAATTAGGGTTTCAAGTTTTAAAGTTTAAAATTTCATAAAGTTTCAATAAGTGGTATCCGAGCCAACTCCGTGTTAAACCATTAAGATTTAAGGAAGAATTTTATGGTTGAAATTCATACGTTAAATTTTGGGATGTAAATTTTAGCCCTAAATTTTAAACATTCAGATTTCTTTTTTTAGAATTTTAATTAAGATTTTTTTTGGAGTTTCTTTATGAAATTAAAAAAAAAAAGTGTTTGAATTAATTATGATAAGTTTCCAAGATCTATTGGCAATGAATTATGTGTGACAAAAGGTTGATTAACGGATTTGGAAAGGGTTCCTCGGATAAGAAGGATGTGGACAATCGTTGATTGTTTTATTGAGAAATTTTCATGGGATTCAGTGGATTAGTCAGAAAATCAGATGGTTACAAAAGGTTGGCTGGTACTAAAGAGCATTACTATTTGTACATAATAATATGTACATCAAGGTGTTCACCCCCTCACATGGGGGTGATGCCCACTTGAAGATAATATTTTTTATTCAAATGGGTCTCACCTTCATGTGTGAGGGTGGATACCTTGATGTATATATTATTATGTACAAGTAGACAATTCCGATACTAAATGGGCAATAGATAGTGGAGTTGTGCGCCCTTTGATTGATTGATAAAAGGAAAACAAGATTTATTGTTCCAGCGGTTGTCCAGGCAATTGTTGGGCACTGAATTGTTGTTTTTTTATTATTTTTTTCTAAAAAAAAAAAATAAAAGACTAAGAGAATAATCAATTTCAAATCTTGGTACTTCAAATTTGTTTCAGATTACTAATTTTCTAAAATAAATTAGTTGAAATAACTGCTACCAAAGTAACATTTCTTGCCTAAATTAATTTATTTGGAATATTAAGAATGTTGTGCGTATGTAATTCATGCGGGTATTGATTGACCCGAATGAAGGTTAATATTTGATCGAATTATTTACACACCCGTGGTGATAAATATGTGACGATTGTAAAGTTTTCCATTATGTGAATATTGAGTCGATCCAAAGATAGGCTTGATATTTGATAGGATTTGTTGTCAATATTTGATTACTACACCAAAAGTGTCACTTACAAGTTGATATTTATGTCTAAAGACTAAATTCAATGTTGTACTTAGTATCTTGTGATGAGGTTTACCATTATTTGAAATTATTGATTGTCCAATACGGCTTCCTACACAAACATATTATTTTTGTTTAAGTTCTCTATTCGGTTAATTCATCTACTTCTATAATGTCGTCAACTAATCAGTTATATTCTAATAACATTTAGGGGCGCTAAGGTAACTACTGAAAATGAGTTTTTTTTATGAAATTTAAAATCGCTTTGCAAAATGCAATAAGGCTGAAACTAGTACGCCTTTTAGCGAATTTAGTTTTACTAAAGGGTAAGGGTAAAGAAAACATAAGGGAGTACATCATGGAGAAGACTCATCTTATTTCAAAATTAAAAGCATTGAAACTTGAGCTGTCTGATGACTTACTCGTGCATTTAGTTTTGATTTCTATTCTTGCACAATTCTGCTAATTTAAGATTAGTTACAACTATCAAAATAGAAAGTTGTCTCTTAATAAACTCATTCCATATTGCGTGCAAGAAGAAGAAAGTCTATAGCAAGACATGTCTGAAAGTACGCATTTGACAAGTATCTATAAGGATAAGTTATAAAGAATAAGTAAGTTGCATTCGGTTCGATTAAAAAAAAAACAGCAAAATGTCTGAAAAAGATAAACATGGCAGTTACTTTTGTGAAAATCTAGGATACATAAAGAAAGACGGTACTAAATATCACGATGTGTGTAAAGAAAAGTACACTTCTCACTTTGGTTTATTTTAAAGTTAATTTAGTGTCAATACCTAGACACACTTGGGGGACAAATTTCGGTACCACTATTCATATAAGTGTGTCTATGCAGGGTTGCCTGAACTGTCAAGCCAATTGATGCCGAAAGATTCATCTATGTAGGGCGATGGCAAATCAGTTCAAATTGAAGCTATATGAACTTTAGGTTATTATTAAAGATTGATTATGATTTGAATATGAAAGAGATATTTGCGGTACTGTCTTTTAAACGGAATTTGGTTTCTATTTCTATATTGGACAAATTTGATTACTTTTGTTCAATTGGAAATAGTCAGTTTGATCTTTTTCTTAATTCAAATATTGTGGGTACCAATTCTTTATCCGGTTATAATAACATATATCTGCTTAGTACGGTCGTCTCTTATAAAGAAACCTTACATGTGAATTCACGTGGCATTAAACATAAATTAAATAATGAGAATTTTGCTTCGTTATAGGACAAGCGATTAGGTAGCATTTCTTAAAAGAGAATGTAAAATCTCGTATTAGAAAGAATTCTTGATTCCCTTAATTTTTTAGACTTCAGTGTTTATGTTAATTACATTAAGGAAAACAAACAAACATAAAAAGATTAGGTGCCAATAGGATTTCAGACGTTTTAGAACTAATTCATACGGCTATCTGTGGGTCATCACTTTGAATTCTTTGAATGGTCAACAATAATTTATTATATTCATAGACGAATTTTTCTCACTATGGCTACCTATATCTCATTTATGAGAAACCCCAAACATTAGACATGTTCAAAACATACAAGGTTGATGTTGAAAAATTTGTAAAAGAAATTAACAAGTCGATCTTACCATATTGGTGAATTCTATGATAGATATGACGATCAGGAGAACAGCGTNCAGGTCAATTTTCGAAACGGGAAATGTTCGATTTCTTGAGGATGTAGAGTTTGTGATGGGAGATAAAGTTATAAGGTTATGATTTTGTCTTGGATGAAGAATATTTATATGTTCCTTCTGTTGCAATTGACAATGATTTGGTTCAGGGACAAATTTTTGCTCCAGATCTTGTTCAAGAAGCAATTTCGGATCAAGACAATATTAAAAAATTCCTTATACATAATAAAGAGATTGTTTCAGTGAAACAAACTCAACAATTTCAAGAACAAATGTCATTAAGAAAATCCTCTATAAAAAGGGAAAATAAAATTCTGGATGACTTTATAAATTTTCTCCAAGAAAATAAGGATGGTGTGGATGTGGAAGAAGAACTGATCAATTAATTTTCATCAAGCCATGCAAAGGAATGATTCTTAAGAGTGTATTGATGCTATGCATAAAG